AAAAAAAAAAAAAAAAAAAAAAAAAAAAAAAATTATTTTCTAGATACTCCAAGAGGGAAAAATATTGGTAGTGGAAATTTTAACCCAGGGCTTCAGGCATGCTAGGCAAGTGCTCTGCTGCTAGGCTACCTCTCCAGCACTCCCACCATCTGTGCTTTTATTTTTGTTCTGGTTTAGGGTTTCCAGGCTGGTCTCCAGTGGCAATCCTTCTGACTCTGCCTCCAGAATAGCTGGGATTGCAAGTGAGTATCATCAGCTCACCCAGGAAAGAAAAAAAAAAAAAAAGAGAGAGAGAGAGAGAGAGATTTTCTATCTTTCTGTAAATGATCACACTGGGCTTGCCAAAACTCAAAAACGTTTTAGAATATCCAAATTTTAGAATATCTAATTGTAAGCAGTCAGTTCCCCAAAACTTCAACAGAACTAGACTAGTGAGTCCATGTCTGTGATCAACTATAAATTTACTAATTTTAATTGTTAAGTTTGCTGGTATTGTAAGCATCCTTCTCAACTTGACAAACTTTTACAGCTAAAGAGAAGCAAACATTCATTCTAGCTAAAGAATTACAACTCCTTTGCCTGTACTTTTCTTGTCCCCCGCTCCTGGAATGGAAATCAAACTCAGGACCCTGCACTTGCTATGCAGACACAGTACCACTGAGCTACATCCCTGGCCCTGACTATACTTTTCCTATCAACACTTTTGAGTTCCATTTTAAGAACAACTGTCTATTTTATTTAAAAAAATTTAAAAACTTGCACACTGAAGGAGAATTTGTATTCCATAACTGCTCTGAGCTATAAAGAAAGAAAACAGTGAGCCAGCAGAAGTTACCGACTTTGCAGACCAGACCAGAAGGTGCAAATTCATAACTGTTTCAGTTCCCCATCCTCTCCTAATCTTATCTATTCTTGGTTATAAATATACATAGAGAAATCATTTCAGGGAGATAACATTACTTGACATAAGAGCCAAATACTAGAAATAACCTATTTGTCATAGCCTATATGATCACTCTGTGGTCTCCACTCAGGATAGCAGGCAGTGAAAATCTCTACAGTCTGACTTTGTGCAGTCCACATTCCTGATCACTCAGATAAAAAGAGAAAGTTTATGTAAACAAAGGCCTCTTACATTCTGCAATATAAAAGAAGACAGAGCCTTTATGGTTAACGATAATGAAAAACAAAAAAGAAAAAGAAAAAATACATGGGGAAAAATATTATTTATGAAATGATATTGCTTTTTTAAGATTAATAAAATAAACTGGGAAATCAAAACTGTAGCACAGATAAGACAACTAACTGTTTATTCCTAAGTAATAAGTATAAAAACATACCTCTGTTTTCTTCCTCTTTGTTGACGAGGTTGTTCCTCTTGGGGATATTTGAAAATATCTTGAAAAATAGGTTCATATTTCTTAAAAATTACAGCAGAAACAGTGAAGTTTCTTTCCAACCTCTCAGTACGTTCTCTGAAATGGGGGGGTAGGTTTGCCATGTCTTCCCACTTTTTCATTTTGTTAAAAAATTCAATCAAGCTGATATTAAAGATAAAAAATTAGGTGTTTTCATAACAAGTATACTAATATAAATAACTAAAAGTAAATCAAAAGCATCTCATTTAATTGTATTACTTATAAACAGTAACATAACAAAACAAGTCTTTGATTTGTTTAAGTAATCTCTTAAGAGATTGGTTTATTACTCTGGTCCTCATATCTTTTCTTTCTTTCTGTCTCTTTTTTTTTTTTTTTAAACTCAGGACCTTGTGTTTGCAAGGCTGGCATGGTGCCACAGAACTAAATCCCTGACCCTCCTCCTGTTTTTTTTCTTTTCTCTTTCTTTCTCTCTTTCATTTTTCTTCCTTCCTTCATTTCTTTCTTCCTTAGTTTCTTTCTTTCTTTTGTAACTACATCAGATTTGTTTTAATTATGAAGTAGTTTATATATAAAATAAAATAGGAGTAACACAACACATGTACCCAACTTCCAGGATTAGCAAATATTAATATACTGAAAAAAATTTTTTTAAAAACTTATGCACAAAGATGATACTTGAAAAAAAAAACATACCGAATAAATACTGCCATATTTGACCTCAGATTAAGAACTAAAAACCCCACAGAAACAGCTAAAATTCCTATGTACTCCTTCCTAATCCCACTTTCCACTCTTCCCCAAAAATAACCACCATTCTGAAGTTAGATTTCTCCCCATCCATCTTTAATACCTGTACACATATACATGTATCCACAAACAATAAGCAGTATCTTCTACACTTGTATTTTTACATTTTATACAAAAGGTATCACAATATGCATTCTGCAACTTGCTTCCTACTCATGTTTGAAATTCATAAATTTTTTATATATACTTCATTAATTTAATTGCTAAACATTCCCTCATGTGAACATACCATTACATTTTACACTGATTTCCCAGCCGATGGAATTTTAGGTTGTTTTTAATGTTTCACAATAAAAATGCTATAATAAACACATCCTTGTGTGTGTAGGCGTTTCTTTATGGACTATCCTTAGAAGTGAAGTCAGAGGATAAATGCTTTCTATTTTTTTGTTGTTGCTTTGTTTTGAGTTTTTTTTGGTACCAGGGATCAAACTCTGGACCTTGGGTTTTTGAGTTCGGCGAAAGAACCACTAAGCTAAATCCCCAGCTCCTGTATGCTTTGTATTTTATTATACATTCCATTTGTATTAAAACTTTAGCATTGTGCATATAGTTGTAAGCATAGTACCATATCATTAATATTTTATTTACCTTTCAATCAAGAATTTTTCCTAAAGTTCCTCAATATCATTTGTTAGATTTCTCTCAATATTATACTGAGTACAACCTTAAAAGTTAATTTTCCCTCCAAAATGAAACAGTATAAAACAAAACAAAAAAGGTACATTCTTCCAAACAAGTGCCTATATATAAAAAGCAAATATTTTCACCAACTTAGTAAAACATGGAAAGCCATGACCTAGCTTCTAAATACAACACTCCACAGGTATAAATACTCAGAAAATAATGATCTGAGACATTTCTTGTTGTCACTATAATTTATGAGCTTTTATAATAACCAACTCTACTTTTTAGGCTCTAAGACAATTTACCTCTGCTGTGAACATCGTAAGATTCTAGTTAGGGATACATAGTTCCCTTCAACAGTCCCTTTGCTCACAGTTGGAACAGATTTTCTGCAAGCCACATATAAGGCACATGCTAACCAGTGAAGATCATTGCCCTGTAAAAGAAAACAGAATTTGGGCAATAAGCTATATATAGAAATACAATATAAAATACAAAATACAATACAGAAAATACTTATGTTTAAATTCAAAGTGTTGTTTATATGTGTATGGAAACTGTATTTTTCAGTCACGGCCTTATCTCACATACTTTTTATTTTCTTTTTTTGTTTATTTGTTTGTTTCTGTTGTTTTTTTCAGACAGGGTCTCACGATGTAGTCCATGCTTGTCCTAAACTCACTACGCAACCCAAGCTGGCTTCAAACTTGCAATCCTTCTGCCTCAGCCTCCTGAGGGCCGGCATTAGAGCATTAGAGGACACCACGCCCAGTGCATGTGCTTTTCTTACAATGTGACACGAACATTCTCCCATGAGTGTGGGGGGGTGGTCTGTGTTAGTTCACCTTGAACCTGAACAGAGGTCTATGTCCCCTGACACTAATTAAAGTGTCTCAAATAATAACACAGGTAGAAATGGTGTTAGGTGATTTCAAAGATCATAGAAGGGAATATTCCACATGGACCTTGGGAGTCCTAGTCCGACATATAAGAATTCTGGTGCCATGGATGAGAGAAGCCATTTGGAAAGGTTAGTCAAACAGAGATGTCCAAGGAGGCCGAGTGATGTCAGCCCTTAGCTGCTAGTGAACAAGAAACATCAGCTTCTCAATTAGCCCTGTTTAATGCTCCACTCAGAACGTGTGGGCAAAAGTTGTTGTTTTACATCACTGACCTCTAGGGTAATTTGTTACATATGACTGAAACAGTATTATTTTTTTGTTGTTGTTCAACCTAGAGCACTGAAACAAACAAATGCAAAATTAAGCTTGAAATGTACATGCAATCACTAACTTTATACCTAATCAAAACATATACATAAACACATAAAACTTGTAGCAGTATGAACTATTGTGGATCCATTACCAAATACAGTACATTACCAAATACATTACCAAATACAGTATTAAAGGATGTTTGTTTGTTTGGGACACAGTCGGTCTTACTGTGTAGTCCAAAGCCAGCCTTAAATTATTTACATAGCTCAGGCTGGCCTCAAACTCTGAATCCTCTTGCCTCGGCAGCCTGAGTACTAGAATTACAGGCACGTGCCATCACACCCTGCTCGAAAGAAGTAATTTTTAAGACATTACTTCTAAAACATCATCTGTAAAATACTTTTCAAGTGACACAATTTTCCTTTCCATATAAGGGCTGAATTGGAAGATGTCCTTTAGTTTCCTTGTATTCAATGCCAGTCTAAGTAAAAATAAAAGAAATTGGACCTCTTCCATTTTTCTCTTTATAAATAGGCTACCTTAGAACTCAACTGTACTTATAGCATAGATTTTTTTTCTTTCTCCTCCACTCCTTCCACTAACACCAACATTGGGGATTGAACCCTGGAGGCAATGAGATATAACCTCAGTCCTTTCCATAAATTTTTAAAATTAATTTTATTTGGGGACAAGAGCTTGCTAAATTGCCCAGACTGGCCTTGAACTTATGATCCTCCTCCCTCAGTCAGCCTCCTGAGTAGCTGGGATTACAGGCATGCACCATCATGCCCAGCTTAGCACAGATTTTCCTGTTTAAAAACACAATAATAGAGGTGCATATCAAAAAACATGCCTGGGATATGGGTGTGTGGGTTGGGTGTGTGGGTGTGTGGGGGGGTGTATGTGGTGCTGAGGCTGGAACCCAAGACCTCATGCATGGTAGGCAAGGGCTCTAAACAGCTCTACCCCCTGGATTTCATAATATTTTTGATATAAAAGCTCGAGTAAATTTAGCTTTATAACTACTGAGTTTCTCTACTATATAAAAAAATATTTGTTGAAATAACCCTTAATAGGGCTGGGGATGTAGCTCAGTGGTTCCGTCACCTGCCTCACAAGCACAGGCCCCGAGTTCAATCCCCAGTACCAAAAAAGAAATAACCCTTAATACTAAAAACAGTCATCCTCAAAATTAACAACTCATGACCATACCCCTCTATAAGAGCAAGTAGATCTGTTTTCAAATTCTGACTGCATCATAGGTTAGCAATAACATTGTGGGCAAAGTAGCCTCAGAAGCTCCATTTTCTGAGATGAGGGCCAAGAAAATTAAATGAGATTCCACAATGAAGCAAAAGAAAATTAATTTTTTTTTTGTTGCCATCTGCCTTGCAAGAACAAGGTCCCAAGTACAATCCCTGGTACGTAAATAAATAAATAATAAAAAATAAAAAGGGAAGGGGCTGGGGATTTAGCTCAGTGGTTCTGCCACCTGCCTTGCAAGAGCAGGGACCAGAGTTCAATCCCAAGTACCAAAAATAAAAATAAAAAAGGGTTGAGGATGCCTAGCTCAGTATTCCCTGGATTCAATTCCCAGTATGGCAAAAACAAAATAAGTAACTGTTAAGTGAACAAAGATTCATGCATTTATTTGGTAAACTGGGCTAAGAAGCAGAGGTTAAAACCCTACTAATAAAAATTCAAGTAATCAAATACATCTTCAAAAGTAATTTACTAACCATTTAGTATGTGTCGCTTGCTTATGTAACACTAGACCACATGACTTAACCTCGCTCAGTTGAAATACCTCAACTGAATGGTGATAATGCTCGTTTTATTTTATATATATCTTCTAAAGGTAAAATAAGCACCTAAGAGCACTTATACTCTTCAAACCAAAGACAGGGCTGGGGACTTAGCTCAGTGGTTTCAGCGCCTGGCTTGCGAGCACAAGGTCCTGAATTTGATCCCCAGTACCAAAAAGAAAAAAAACAAACCCAAAGACAATCCTTCGTTTTATCTGACATGTAGGAAAACACAGAGATAAAGAGGAACTTAGCTTCTTCAGCCAGAACCCTCAGTAAATGAGCTTAGTTAACTGTGAAGCACAGTTATTTGAGTGCTTTACATGCCAATAACTACACATTATCTTAGTTCACATTCAGGACAGTTCTATGAGATAAGTACAAGTAGCTTTGGTTTACATACAACAAAAATGAGTTTTCCAGTGGTTAAGTAACATGTCCAAAGTCACCAAGATCTGTTAGGTTCTAAAGCCACTCTATTACTATTTTTTTGTGTGTGACTGTAACAATGGAAAGATGGAACTACTAATTGAATTAAAATTGTTTTGATGCAAGGATTTTTTAAAAACTCTAGTCAACATAAAGACGAGTCAAATACACCATATTATAGTTAAATACCTTGGTTAAGCCTTCGCATCCTGTGCCTATTTGTCCTACTCTCTTCACAAACTATATATAAAACTATAGAGAAAATCAAAAGGCCTAATGTTTAAAAGCCACACACACAGGCGGTCAAACAGATAATAAACAATCCGGACTTCCGTGTCACTTCCCATTGGCCCATGAAGGGGAGGTGCCTACAGAGTTGACAGTCACTGGTGGAATGGTTATTTTTCTCATCTGCAAGCCTCATCCGAAGAAGGGGACTTAACACGCCTGTATCGCGGCGACAACCAAAAAGGTAGTTTTAGTTCTGATTCCACAACTACAATGCAGATTCTTAGTAACGAGTGGGGGCGTGTGTCCACACCAGGGAAAGCGGAAGGTCCATTTAGCCCAGGAAACATTAAATTGTTTACTCATACATAAACACATCCCGAACATTAAATGCGTGTACTCGAACGGACGCAATGCCTGGGAAAAGTCAAGCTGGAGGAACCAAAATTGAAAACAACTGAAGGAGACGGCTAGAGACCCGAGCACTCAAATTCGGTCAATCGCCTGCACTGCTTTGGACCAGTCTCCGTGTGATCTAGACTACTACACCCTTTCATTCTACTAGTAGGGCGGGTGAGGGAGCAAAAGGGTCTCACAGATCCATTTTTGTAACTGCGACCCTAACACAATCTCAGGCTCGCTGTGTTTCGTAAGGGTAAAAGGTGTACACCATCCTGAGCCGGAGGAGGCAGAGCAGCGAGCGAGCGGTCGCCCTCACCGTTGCTACGAGCCTGTCAAAGTCGGGTTTCCAGGGCAGCGGCGCACAGAGGGGAGCCCACGCCTCCCCCCGCTGGAAGCCGCGAACCGGCGTCAGCGGCGCGCAGGGCACCCCGCTACGCCGCGGGGCTGGCCGACTAGGCCCCAAAAACCCCAACTCTCCATCCCCGAGCGCACCTCCAGCGTGTAGCTCTCGCTCATGCTCCGGTAGCTGTCCCAGGCCTCCGCCCGCGCCGCCTCGTCCATGTTAAGACGGCTGCACAGTTCCTCGAACCGCTGCAGGATCTGAGGGGTCGGCGACCCAGCCGGCTGCGCGGCGTCTTCGGCTCCGCCGTCGTCATCCTCCTCCTCATCCGAGGCTCCCGCCGCCGGTGGAGGAGGCGGGGGAGGCGGTGACTGGTCGCCTCCAGACGGCATAGCTCTCCCTGGGCAGCTGGTCCTCAAGTGAACTGAGGGACCGGGCCCTCAGCCATTCAAACCGCTAAGCGCCCGCCCGCCAGCCGCCTGTACCGCGACTGCGCCGCCGCCTCCGGCGCTTGACCTCATGCAGGCACCCGTAGCTCTGAGCCCGGCCTGCTGGGAAACGTAGTCTAGGCCGGGAACTCATGGGGCCCAAAAATCACGAAAGGAAGAAAATCGGCTCGCGTTGTCTCATTTGGGAAAAAGTAAACATTCCTGCGCATTTTAAGATCTCCCCATCGTGAGTCCATTCCGAAGGCTGTTTTAAGAGAAAGGTCCTAGAAACGTGACATATGAAGGTTTAGTAGCCAAGCCTTTCCCAGAAATATTACTGGCCTGTCTTTTGTATGTCCTTAACCAGAAAAAGATAATAACAAAGGCCTAACCTGCCCCGATGCAAATCTCAATCCTGCTCCTAATTTCTAGCTTTTTTCCATTTTTTAAAAATTAAGTAGACAATGTAATGACATCACTGGAAATTCGCGCCTTTACATAATCTATCTTGGTTCTTGTATTTTCCCCATTCCCCTCTCCGCCCTCCAACCCCTCCACCCCTCCCTACCTACAAAGACTTTGTTTCCATTTTTTTCTTTCTCATGTTAATTCCATTCCCATCTTTCTTTTCCCCTACCCCTCCCATTTTCCCTTCTGCTTTGTACCTTTTCTTCCTATTTCAAATTATCTAATACCTTTTAGTCCTTATTTACACTATCTCACACCAGAGAAACTTCAGTATTTACACGTGTCCTATTTATTTCACTTGAGTATTGCCTCAACGTGCATCCACTTAGCTATAAATGTCTTTAGTTTCTCTGTTTTTTTTTTTTTTTCTGAGACAGGGTCTCACTATGTAGTTGAGACTGACCTGGAACTCTCTGTGTAGCCCAGGCTGGTCTCGAACTCAGGGTGATCCTCCTGCCTCAGCCTCTTGAGTGCTGGGATTATAGGCATGCACCACCACACCTGGCCTTAGTACTTTTTTATAGTAAACTTCCTCACCCAGCTCCTGGCAATTACTGATCAGTTTTCTCTTCCTATGGCTTTGGCTATTTTCCAGAATTTCACATAGGTGCAGTTATACAGTATGTGGCCTTTGAATTTGGCTTAGTAGTATTCCATTGCATAGCTATACCACTCCTTATCCAATCACCAGTTGAAAACATTTCGCTTGCTTCCTGTTTCTGGTGATTATGAGCACAGCTTCTTTAACATTTATATATGTGTTTTTATGTGAACATAAATTTTCATTACCCTTGAGTAAATACCTGGAAGAATACTCTGATTAATATTTGGTTGTCCCTTGCCCTATTCACGTGTTAAAGTCCTAACCCCCAATGTGATCTGGAGGTGAGGTTTTAGAAGACAGTTTAGGTTAAATGAGGTAAGTGTGAGGTCCTAAAGCAATGGGATTCTTGGCTTTATTAGAGGAGACATGGATCCCCCCCCCCGCCATGTGCCTAGAGGAAACGCCAGTGAGAAGTTGCAAAGAGGGCTAAGGGTATAGCTCAGTGGTAGAATACTTGCCTAGCATGCTGTAGACCCCCAGAATCACCAAAAATATCTAGTGAAGAGAGGACCACTAGGATCCAAAACAAGCCAGTGGCTCAATCTTGGCCCTGCCAGACTCCAGAAGTGTGAAAGTAAGGGTTAAAGGTGTAAGGGAAGTGGGAAGGGTAGGGGAAAGGTAATAAGGGAAAAGAAAAAAAATGAGAAAATGAAAAAATGGAAATAAAGTATTTGTAAATAGGGAAGGGAGGAGGGGGTGAAGGGAAGGCGAGGACAAGGGGAAAAAATGAGAACCAAGACCTGTCATGTAAAGGTACAAGATCCCAATGATGAATGTAATTGTTCTGTATACCTAAAATGGACCAATAAACTCAATGAGAGAGAAAAAAAGTTTCTGTTTAAACTACTAGCACCATTGGACATCAGTTCCCCTTGTTAACAAGGGATATGTTCCAAGATGCTTGAAAGTGGATTGTTCTGAGCCCTACAGCTAAGCCATGCAATCCTGGAACAGCTGATCTGGTGACTGAGATAACTCCCAGGTGACTGATGGGTGGGTAAGGCTACCCTGAAGAAAGGAGTGACTCATGTCCAGGCAGGCCAGTGTTAGATTTCATCGTATTACTCAGAAAGGCATACAATTTGAAAGTTATGAAATATTTCTTTCTGAAATTTCCCATTTAATATTTTTAGGCTGTGATTATGCTCATGTAATCTAACCATATACTGTATAAATAAAGGGAAACCATGAATAAAGGGTACTGTTGTCTTTTGTAAGCAGATGAGACGAAGATAGAGTGGTATTGTTGTGTCAAAGTTCCTAAGAAAGTGTCAAATTTTTAAATTGGCTGTGGTGGCACCTGCCTATAATCTCAGCACTCAGGAGGCTGAGGCGGGAGGACTGCCATGAGTACTAGGCTAGCCTGGGCTACATAGTGAATTCAAGGACAGCCTGAATTACATAGAAGATCCCATCTAAAGGCCGGCACTGGAACCACTGAGGTAAAGCCCTGGTCTAGATCCCGTCTCTAAAAACAAACAAATAGAAAGAAGCTTAATTTTTTTCTAAAGTGTCTTTTCCATTTTGTATTTTATCCCAGTGAAATTCAAATTTATCTTTTGTGAACATAAGACTGCTTATGTTAATCATTTCCAGAATGAGCTATCAGATGGCTGTCATTAAACTATGCCTCAAATTATGTTTATAATATGTGCCTCCCACAAATATATTTTTTAAAAAGATGTGTTGCTGCTAGCTAAAACTTTGTTTTGAATTTATACTTAAGTGTGTTGCCTACTTAGGCAAGACTCAAGACGGTTCGCATCCGTTTCACCTGGTATGTGGGCAGTCTCTTGTTAGGACCCAAGTTACCAGTACTTTGGTTCTGATTAATTCTCTTCAGGTGTTTGTGTCCCTTCTGAACGGATACTCTGAACCCAGGAGGTCTACCCTCGAAACCAGATTGTCTGACTGAGCATGGTGGTGCATGCATAGGATTCCAGCATTTTAGGGGGCTGCAACAGGAGCATGGCAAGTTCAAGCCTAGCCTAAGCAATTGAGTGAGACTGTGTCTCGAGGGAAAAAAAAAAAAAAAAAAAACGGATAGGGGATGTATCTCAGTGCTGAGGTCCTGAGTTCGACCACCAGTTCTGCAACAAACAATGCCCCAGCTCTTGGGGCTCAAAACCACAATAAAAAAAGTGTCTGATTGTAAAGGAAAGTCTACCTGCTAAAATTCAACCCACTGAACATGCAGCTAATTTAATGGACAGGAAAGCTTTGACACTTTGGAATAAAGCCTTGGCCCTTTTAGCCCTATCTATCTTATTAATAATTACTGTATTATGCCCAAATAATGCCTGTTGGAATAGATATTATGCTGAAGTGCTTCCCAGTGCTGAGGCTTGAAACATTTTGTCTTTTTTATCTCTCTTACACTCAGGCTAAAAGATCTTTCTTTGCATTTGGGCTACTGTATGAGCTGTTGGTAACCTTTTTCTTCATTTTACTGGGCAAAAGGGTTGTTTATAAACTGAGTGAGGTGACAGGATATGTGACAAGTTAAGATCAATAGGCCATGAATCTTAAGGAGAGGATGTAGATGTCCAGGATTTAGCTCATTGGTTCTGCTGGCTGCCTCACAAGTGCAAGGTCCAGAGTTTGATCCCTGGTACAGGGGGCGGAAAAAAAAGGAGAGGATGTGGGCATAAATGATTGAGTTTAAGAGGTTTGGTTCTTGGTGTCTGGTTGCCATTGATTTAGTCCATTTTCTGTTGCTATAACAGAACACCTGAGTCTGAATCATTTATAAAGAAAAGGAGTTTATTAGGCTTATGGTTCTGGAGCCTGGGAAATCCAAGAGCATGACATGACCTCCAGTGAGAACCCTTCTGTTGCATCACAACATGGCAGAGGACATCACATTGTGAGACAGAGCAACCTGCCAACTTAGGGTTTTCTTCTTAGTCACTAATGACATCCCAGGTTCCCATCCGCATGGCCTCATGTGATCCTAATTACCTCCCAAAGGCCCCATCTCCAAATACCCTTAATGTTTGAATTTGGAGATCACGTCTCTAACACATGAACTTTGAAGGGACAAATTAAAAATGTAGCATTCACTCATTCGTTCATTTAGTCAGTGATCTTGCTATCGACTCATTAAAATAGAGGTTTAGTCAGTACATACAGTATGTTCAGTACTTTGTCAGATACCGATCATATATGGTAGTGAATGAGCAAAGTACAGTCCATGCCCTCCTGGAGCTTGGGATTTCACAGGGAAAACAGAACAAGAAGAGGCAAGCCTGGTGGGGTGGTGGTGGCACACACCTGTAATTCCAGCACTTGGGAGGCTGAGGCAGAAGGATCATGAGTTTGAGGTTTAGTGGCTTGAATTACAGAGCAACACTGTGAAAGAGGAGGAGGAGAAGGAGGGGGAGGAAGAGGAGGAGAAGGAGGAGGGGGAGGGGAGGAGGGCTTGGAGGAGGAGGAAGAGGAGAAGAAGAAGAAGGGAGAAGGAGGAGGAGGAAAAAAAAAGAAAGGGGCAAGTGTGAATATGTTACAAAAGAAAAACTCAGAGCTACTGTATGAATGTATATCACAAAGACCTTAACTTTGCTTGCAAGAAAGAGGAGAGGGAGGGAGGGAGGGAGAAGATGACTGTGTGGTGATAATAGAAATGACTCAGATGCGTTTGGTTTTGTTTTGCTTTGGTACCGGGGATCAAACTTGGGTCCTTGTGCCTGCGAGGCAGGCGGTGGAACCACGGAGCTAAATCCCCAGCCCTGAATGGATTTTCTTTTCTTTCTTCTTCTTCTCCTTCTCCTTCTCCTTCTCCTTCTCCTTCTCCTTCTCCTTCTCCTTCTCCTTCCTCTTCCTCTTCCTCTTC